GGGGGGGAGGGAGGGGGGGGAGGGGTGCGGGGGAAGGGGAACCCACACCCCATTTTAGTTGAGGATTGTTTTTTGGTGTCTGCCCACTACCCCCTGTGAGACTCGTGCCACCCCCCCGGAGGAGGCACCGGGTGGGGAGGAGGAGGGAAGGGGGGAGGGTGGGGGAGGGGGCCGGGGAGGGGTGGGAACCAACACCCCATTTTAGTTGAGGATTGTTTTTTGGTGTCTGCCCACTACCCCCGTGAGACTCGTGCCACCCCCCGGAGGAGGCACCGGGTGGGGAGGGGGAGGGAAGGGGGGGAGGGTGGGGGAGGGGGCCGGGGAGGGGTGGGAACCAACACCCCATTTCAGTTGAGGATTGTTTTTTGGTGTCTGCCCACTACCCTCCCGCCCCAGGAGGAGGGGGGAGGGCGCTCAGGGGGAGGGGGGGCGGGGGGAAGACCCCACACCCCATTTTAGTTGAGGATTGTTCTCTCGGCCTTGTCGCTGAGACCACACACCTCGGCAACCACATTGGTTGAGGCTCAAGCTTCCATACCTTGGATTGTCCTTGCCTCTGTCTTCTTCGGCTTGAGCTTCCACACCTCGGAACCCCATACCGGTTGAGGATAAGCCTTCCCGCCTTGTCTCTGCCTCTGTCTTCTTCGGCTGGAGCTTCCATACCCCGGAAACCCACATCGGTTGAGTATAAACCCTCCCGGCCTTATCCTTGCCTCTGTCTTCTTCGATTTGTGAGCTTCCACGCCTCGGAAACCCGTACTAGTTGAGGATAAACCCTCCCGGCCTTGTCGCTGCGCTTCTGCAGCCTGAGACCCCACGTCTTGGAAACCCATATTGGTTGATGATACACCCTCCCGGCCTTGTCCTTGCCCTTCTTCAGCTTGAGCTTCCACGCCTCGGAAACCCATACTGGTTGAGGATGAGCCCCCCCCCCGGCCTTGTCCCTACCTGTGTCTTCTTCAGCTTGAACTTCCACACCTCGGAACCCCATGTTGGTTGAGGATGGGCCCTCCCGGCCTTGTCCTTGCCTCGGAAACTTATATTGGTTGAGGATAAGCCCTCCCGGCCTCGTTCTTACCTCTGTCTTCTTCAGCTTGAGCTTCCTGGGGCCACGCACTTCGAACCCCGGCCTTGTCCTTGCCTCCGTCGTCTTTTTGCTGGGGTCACGCACCTCGGACCTCATATTGGTTGAGGCCTCGTCCTTTCTCTTTTCTCCAAGATGAAACCATGCACCTGGGACCCTATCTTGGTTGAGGATAGGCACTCCGGCCTCTCCTCGCCTCCGTCCTGTTCGAGTTGAGACCACGCACCTCGGACCCGATATTGGTTGAGGAGAAGTGCTCCGGCCTGGTTCCCGCCTCCATCCTCTTCAAGTTGAGACCGCGCACCTGGGACCCCATATTGATTGAGGATAGGCACTCCGGCCTGGTCTCGGCTTCTGTTCTCTCCAGACCACGAACCTGGGAACCCATGACAGTTGAGGATAGGCGATCCGGCCTTGTCGCCGCCTCTGTCTTCTTCAGGTTGAGACCACGCGCCGAGAACGTATTCTGAGAGTAAGTCCTTCGAGCTTGTTGTCGCCTCCTCTTGAAGCTCGCCTTCTTCTGGCTTCAAGCACCTGGCACTGATGCACGCTGCGGTAGGGCACGCACCTAGGAGCCCATATCGGTTGAGGATAAGTGCTCCGCCCTCGTCCCCACCTTCACCTTCTTCGGGCCGAGATCGCGTACCTGGGACTCCACGTTGGTCGAGGATAAGCGCTCCGGCCTCGTCCCCGCCTCCGCTTTCGCACCTGGGACCCCTTATTGGTTGAGGATAAGCGCTCCGGCCTCGTCCCTGCCGAGCACGCACCTGGGACCCCAGCTCCGGCCTCGTCCCCGCCTCCGCCTTCTTCGGGCTGAGACCGCGCGCCTGGAACCCCATATTGCGCCGGCCTGGTCCGCGAGAGCACGCACCTGGGACCCCATATTGGTTGAGGATACCTTTTTCTTCTTGAGGATACGCACCTGGCACTCCACGCTGGTTGCGGTCTAAGTGAGCGGGTTTGGGAGGGGGGTGGGAGGGGCAGAGCGAGGGGGAGGGAAGGGAGCGGGGGAGGGAAGGGGGGGAGGGAGGGGGGGACCCTCCGGAGGGGGGGGGGAGGGAGGGGGGGGACACCCCATTTTAGTTGAGGATTGTTTTTTGGTGTCTGCCCCACTCGTGCCACCCTCCGGAGGAGGCACCGGGTGGGGAGGGGGAGGGAGGGGGGGAGGGTGGGGGAGGGGGGCGGGGAGGGGCGGGAACCAACGCCATTTTAGTTGAGGATTGTCTTTTGGTGTCTGCCCACTACCCCGGCCCAGGAGGGGGGGGGGGAGGGCGGGGGAGGGGGGGGCGGGGGGGAGACCCCGCACCCCACTGATTTCTGCCACTACCTTCCCTGAGAATTCGTGCCCCTGCCACCTCTGGAAGGGAGGCCGTCAATAGGGCATGGGAGGGGGAGGGAGGGGGAGGGGGAAGGTCGGCTAGCTCCTGAACTGCATACCTTCAGGTTCCTGTTTTGTTTGAGGAAAAGCTCTCCGGATAAGCCCTCTCAGCCTTGTCGCTGAGACCACACACCTCGGCAACCCACATTGGTTGAGGCTCAAGCTTCCATACCCTGGATTGTCCTTGCCTCTGTCTTCTTCGGCTTGAGCTCCCACACCTCGGAACCCCATACCGGTTGAGGATAAGCCTTCCCGCCTTGTCCCTGCCTCTGTCTTCTTCGGCTGGAGCTTCCACACCCCGGAAACCCACATCGGTTGAGGATAAGCTCTCCCGGCCTTGCCGTTGCCTCTGTCTTCTTCGACTTGTGAGCTTCCGCACCTCGGAAACCCACATCGGTTGAGGATAAGCTCTCCCGGCCTTGCCGTTGCCTCTGTCTTCTTCGACTTGTGAGCTTCCGCACCTCGGAAACCCATACTGGTTGAGTATAAACCCTCCCGGCCTTGTCCTTGCCTCTGTCTTCTTCGACTTGTGAGCTTCCACACCTCGGAAACCCATACTAGTTGAGGATAAACCCTCCCGGCCTTGTCATTGCGCTTCTGCAGCTTGAGACCCCACGTCTTGGAAACCCATATTGGTTGATGATAAACCCTCCCGGCCTTGTCCTTGCCCTTCTTCATCTTGAGCTTCCACGCCTCGGAAACTTATATTGGTTGAGGATAAGCCCTCCCGGCCTCGTTCTTGCCTCTGTCTTCTTCAGCTTGAGCTTCCTGGGGCCACGCACTTCGAACCCCGGCCTTGTCCTTGCCTCCGTCGTCTTTTTGCTGGGGTCACGCACCTCGGACCTCATATTGGTTGAGGCCTCGTCCTTTCTCTTTTCTCCAAGATGAAACCATGCACCTGGGACCCTATCTTGGTTGAGGATAGGCACTCCGGCCTCTCCTCGCCTCCGTCCTGTTCGAGTTGAGACCACGCACCTCAGACCCGGTTTTGGTTGAGGAGAAGTGCTCCGGCCTGGTTCCCGCCTCCATCCTCTTCAAGTTGAGACCGCGCACCTGGGACCCCATATTGATTGAGGATAGGCACTCCGGCCTGGTCTCGGCTTCTGTTCTCTCCAGACCACGAACCTGGGAACCCATGACAGTTGAGGATAGGCGATCCGGCCTTGTCGCCGCCTCCGTCTTCTTCAGGTTGAGACCACGCGCCGAGAACGTATTCTGAGAGTAAGTCCTTCGAGCCTGTTGTCGCCTCCTCTTGAAGCTCGCCTTCTTCTGGCTTCAAGCACCTGGCACTGATGCACGCTGCGGTAGGGCGCGCACCTAGGACCCCATATCGGTTGAGGATAAGTGCTCCGCCCTCGTCCCCACCTTCACCTTCTTCGGGCCGAGAGCTCCCGCCTCCGAGCATGCGCCTGGAACATATTGGTTGAGGATAAGCGCTCCGGCCTCGTCGCCTTCTTCGGGCTGAGACCACGCACCTGGGACCCCCTATTGGTTGAGGATGAGTGCTCCGGCCTCGTCCCTGCCTCCGCCTTCTTCGACTGAGACCACGCACCTGGAACCCCACATTGGTTGAGGATCGTCAGCGCTCACCTCCTCACTTCGGTCTCTTGGGGTTGGGACCACGTACCTGGGACACCGTGCAGGCGAGCCTGCACGGCTTCGTTCCCGCTCCCGGCCTTCTTCTTCTTGAGGATACGCACCTGGCACTCCACGCTGGTTGCGGTCTAAGTGAGCGGGTTGGGAGGGGAGGAGGGTGGGGAGGTCCCCCGTGAGGGAGCGGGGGGACCCTCCGGAGGGGGCACCGGGTGGGGGGGAGGGGGGGGGGGAGGGTGGGGAGGGGTGCGGGGAAGGGGACCCACACCCCATTTTAGTTGAGGATTGTTTTTTGGTGTCTGCCCACTACCCCCCGTGAGACTCGTGCCACCCCCCCGGAGGAGGCACCGGGTGGGGAGGGGGAGGGAAGGGGGGAGGGTGGGGGAGGGGGCCGGGGAGGGGTGGGAACCAACATTTCAGTTGAGGATTGTTTTTTGGTGTCTGCCCACTACCCTCCCGCCCCAGGAGGAGGGGGGAGGGCGCTCAGGGGGAGGGGGGGCGGGGGGAAGACCCCACACCCCATTTTAGTTGAGGATTGTTCTCTCGGCCTTGTCGCTGAGACCACACACCTCGGCAACCACATTGGTTGAGGCTCAAGCTTCCATACCTTGGATTGTCCTTGCCTCTGTCTTCTTCGGCTTGAGCTTCCACACCTCGGAACCCCATACCGGTTGAGGATAAGCCTTCCCGCCTTGTCTCTGCCTCTGTCTTCTTCGGCTGGAGCTTCCATACCCCGGAAACCCACATCGGTTGAGTATAAACCCTCCCGGCCTTATCCTTGCCTCTGTCTTCTTCGACTTGTGAGCTTCCACGCCTCGGAAACCCGTACTAGTTGAGGATAAACCCTCCCGGCCTTGTCGTTGCGCTTCTGCAGCTTGAGACCCCACGTCTTGGAAACCCATATTGGTTGATGATACACCCTCCCGGCCTTGTCCTTGCCCTTCTTCAGCTTGAGCTTCCACGCCTCGGAAACCCATACTGGTTGAGGATGAGCCCCCCCCCGGCCTTGTCCCTACCTGTGTCTTCTTCAGCTTGAACTTCCACACCTCGGAACCCCATGTTGGTTGAGGATGGGCCCTCCCGGCCTTGTCCTTGCCTCGGAAACTTATATTGGTTGAGGATAAGCCCTCCCGGCCTCGTTCTTACCTCTGTCTTCTTCAGCTTGAGCTTCCTGGGGCCACGCACTTCGAACCCCGGCCTTGTCCTTGCCTCCGTCGTCTTTTTGCTGGGGTCACGCACCTCGGACCTCATATTGGTTGAGGCCTCGTCCTTTCTCTTTTCTCCAAGATGAAACCATGCACCTGGGACCCTATCTTGGTTGAGGATAGGCACTCCGGCCTCTCCTCGCCTCCGTCCTGTTCGAGTTGAGACCACGCACCTCGGACCCGATATTGGTTGAGGAGAAGTGCTCCGGCCTGGTTCCCGCCTCCATCCTCTTCAAGTTGAGACCGCGCACCTGGGACCCCATATTGATTGAGGATAGGCACTCCGGCCTGGTCTCGGCTTCTGTTCTCTCCAGACCACGAACCTGGGAACCCATGACAGTTGAGGATAGGCGATCCGGCCTTGTCGCCGCCTCTGTCTTCTTCAGGTTGAGACCACGCGCCGAGAACGTATTCTGAGAGTAAGTCCTTCGAGCTTGTTGTCGCCTCCTCTTGAAGCTCGCCTTCTTCTGGCTTCAAGCACCTGGCACTGATGCACGCTGCGGTAGGGCACGCACCTAGGAGCCCATATCGGTTGAGGATAAGTGCTCCGCCCTCGTCCCCACCTTCACCTTCTTCGGGCCGAGATCGCGTACCTGGGACTCCACGTTGGTCGAGGATAAGCGCTCCGGCCTCGTCCCCGCCTCCGCTTTCGCACCTGGGACCCCTTATTGGTTGAGGATAAGCGCTCCGGCCTCGTCCCTGCCGAGCACGCACCTGGGACCCCAGCTCCGGCCTCGTCCCCGCCTCCGCCTTCTTCGGGCTGAGACCACGCGCCTGGAACCCCATATTGCGCCGGCCTGGTCCGCGAGAGCACGCACCTGGGACCCCATATTGGTTGAGGATAAGCGCTCCCGCCTCCGAGCACGCGCCTGGAACATATTGGTTGAGGAAAAGCGCTCCGGCCTCGTCGCCTTCTTCGGGCTGAGACCACGCACCTGGGACCCCATATTGGGTGAGGATAAGTGCTCCGGCCTCGTCCCTGCCTCCGCCTTCTTCGACTGAGACCACGCACCTGGGACCCCACATTGGTTGAGGATAATCAGCGCTCACCTCCTCACTTCGGTCTTCTTGGGGTTGGGACCACGTACCTGGGACACCATGCAGGCGAGCCTGCACGGCTTCGTTCCCGCTCCCGGCCTTTTTCTTCTTGAGGATACGCACCTGGCACTCCACGCTGGTTGCGGTCTAAGTGAGCGGGTTTGGGAGGGGGGTGGGAGGGGCAGAGCGAGGGGGAGGGAAGGGAGCGGGGGAGGGAAGGGGGGGAGGGAGGGGGGGGACCCTCCGGAGGGGGCACCGGGTGGGGGGGGAGGGTGGGGAGGGGTGCGGGGGAGCCCCACACCCCATTTTAGTTGAGGATTGTTTTTTGGTGTCTGCCCACTACCCCCCGTGAGACTCGTGCCACCCTCCGGAGGAGGCACCGGGTGGGGAGGGGGAGGGAGGGGGGAGGGTGGGGGAGGGGGGCGGGGAGGGGCGGGAACCAACGCCCCATTTTAGTTGAGGATTGTGTTTTGGTGTCTGCCCACTACCCTCCCGGCCCAGGAGGGGGGGGGGGAGGGCGGGGGAGGGGGGGCGGGGGGGAGACCCCGCACCCCATTGATTTCTGCCACTACCTTCCCTGAGAATTCGTGCCACCCTGCCACCTCTGGAAGGGAGGCCGTCAATAGGGCATGGGAGGGGGAGGGAGGGGGAGGGGGAAGGTCGGCTAGCTCCTGAACTGCATACCTTCAGGTTCCTGTTTTGTTTGAGGAAAAGCTCTCCGGATAAGCCCTCTCAGCCTTGTCGCTGAGACCACACACCTCGGCAACCCACATTGGTTGAGGCTCAAGCTTCCATACCCTGGATTGTCCTTGCCTCTGTCTTCTTCGGCTTGAGCTCCCACACCTCGGAACCCCATACCGGTTGAGGATAAGCCTTCCCGCCTTGTCCCTGCCTCTGTCTTCTTCGGCTGGAGCTTCCACACCCCGGAAACCCACATCGGTTGAGGATAAGCTCTCCCGGCCTTGCCGTTGCCTCTGTCTTCTTCGACTTGTGAGCTTCCGCACCTCGGAAACCCACATCGGTTGAGGATAAGCTCTCCCGGCCTTGCCGTTGCCTCTGTCTTCTTCGACTTGTGAGCTTCCGCACCTCGGAAACCCATACTGGTTGAGTATAAACCCTCCCGGCCTTGTCCTTGCCTCTGTCTTCTTCGACGGATTTGGCCAAAGCAGAAAACTTTTTTTTTTCTTCGCAGACAAGAGCAAAATGCTTCTTTCTGTAAGGCGGACAAGATGACACATTTCCGGCCTGGAATGTGTCATGCTTCAGAGCTTGCAAATTTCAAGGACGCTGTAACTTTGTAACGCCAACGTCCACCCATGAACTTCGTATCTTTGTATGGTACAGACACTGCAAATTTCAAGGACGCTGTGAGTTTGTAACGCCAACGTCCACCCATGAACTTCCATATCTTTGTATGGTACAGACTCTGCAAATTTCAAGTGCCTGGCAATTTTTATTCGGTATGTTGGGCCGTAGCCATGACTACAAACAAGGACAAGCCGTAACGGCGGTTACAAGCTTGTAAGGAAATTTGTTTATCAAGAAGCTCGTTCAATTTTTCATCGGCGTATTGGGCCGTAGCGGTGACTACAAACGAGGACAAGCAATTTCTATTTATCACTTTCTTGAGGGTTTAGGGTTTAGGGTTTAGGGTTTAGGGTTTAGGGTTTAGGGTTTAGGGTTTAGGGTTTAGGGTTTAGGGTTTAGGGTTTAGGGTTTAGGGTTTAGGGTTCGCCAGCGCAGTTTTTGGACTGCGCAAGGCGCCCTAGGCACTTTTGCCGGAGCGAAGCGTTACATAGTTCAGCTTCCTTTAAGGGGGCTGCTTCTTGGCCCGTAAAAAAATGCTAAATTCGGGTTTCTGGTTTTAGTGTTTGCGGTCTGGAAACTGGGGGCTTGGGGGGCTGGAATTTGGGATTTGGGGTCTCGGATTCGCAGCCTGGGGTCTGGTAGATTTGGACTGGGTCTGGATTTGGGGTCTGGAGCCTGGATTTGGGCCCTGGGGCTTGGATCTGGGGCCTGGATTTGGTGTCTGGGGTCTGGAGCCTGGCTTTGGGTCCTCGGCCTGGATTTGGGACTGACCTGGATTTGGGACTTGGGGCCTGGATTTCGGATTTGGGACTAGGCCTGGATTTGGGGTCTGGAGCCTGGATTTGGGGCCTGGGGCCTGGATTTGTTGGGACTGGTCTGGCGCCTGGATTTGGGGCCTGAGGCCTGGATTTGGGACTGGGCTTGGATTTGGGGTCTGGAGCCTGGATTTGGTGACTGGCCTGGTTTTGGGATTGGGTCTGGATTTGGGGTTTGGAGCCTGGTTTTGGGGCCTGGGGCCTGGATTTGGGACTGGGCCTGGATTTGATTTGGGGCTTGGTGCCTGGGACTAGGCCTGGATTTGGGTCTGTAGCCTGGGGCCTGGATTTGGGATTGGACCCGGATTTGGGGCCTGGAGCCTGGATTTGGGGCCTGGATTTGAGGTGGGGGACTGGCCTGGATTTCAAACTGGGCCTGGATTTGGGGTCTGGAGCCCAGATCATGGATTTGGGGTCTGGATTTGGGACTGGGCCTGGATTTGGGGTCTGGGCTTGGATTTGGGGCCTGGGGCCTGGATTTGGACTGGGCCTGGAGCTTTTGGGTCTGGGCCTGGATCTGTGGGGTCTGAGCCTGGATTTGGGGCCTGGGCCTTGATTTGGGCTGGCTTTGGGCCCTCGGCCTGGATTTGGGACTGACCTGGATTTGGGATTTGGAGCCTGAAATTCGGATTTGGGACTAGGCCTGGATTTGGGGTCTGGAGCCTGGATTTGGGGCCTGGGGCCTGGTGCCTTGATTTGGAACTGGTCTGGGGCCTGGATTTGGGGCCTGAGGCCTGGATTTGGGACTGGGCTTGGATTTGGGGTCTGGAGCCTGGATTTGGTCCTGGTTTTGGGATTGGGTCTGGATTTGAGGTTTGGAGCCTGGTTTTGGGGCTGGGCCTGGATTTGATTTGGGGCCTGGTGCCTGGGACTAGGCCTGGATTTGGGTCTGGAGCCTCAACCCTGGATTTGGGATTGGACCCGGATTTGGGGCCTGGAGCCTGGATTTGGGGCCTGGATTTGAGGTGGGGGACTGCCGGACTGGGGTCTGGGGCCTGGATTTGGGGCCTGGGGCTGGATCCTGGTGCCTGGATTTGGCGTGGATTTGGGGTCTGGAGCCTGGATTTAGGGCCTGGGGCCTGGATTTGGGACTGGGCCTGGACTTGGGGTCTGGAGCCTGGATTTGGGGCTGGATTTGGGACTGGAGCTGGGTTTGGGGCCTGGGGCTTGGATTTGGGACTAGGTCTGGGTTTGGGGTCTGGAAAAGCCCAAAAGCTCAATTGGGGAGCTTGGAAGGGGGTCTAGAAAAAGTAAAGAACCCAATGTGGTGGCTTGGAGGGGGTGCCCCAGATCCCCAATTCCAGCCCCCTAAATCCAGTTTTCCAGGCCCCAAATCCCAGGGGCCTGGATTTGGGGCCTGGATTTGGTGTCTGGGGCTGGATCCTGGTGCCTGGATTTGGCGTGGATTTGGGGTCTGGAGCCTGGATTTAGGTGGGGCCTGGATTTGGGACTGGGCCTGGACTTGGGGTCTGGAGCCTGGATTTGGGGCTGGATTTGGGACTGGAGCTGGGTTTGGGGGGGGGTCTGGATTTGGGGTAAAGCTCAATTGGGGAGCTTGGAAGGGGGTCGAGAAAAAGTAAAGAACCCAATGTGGTGGCTTGGAGGGGGTGCCCCAGATCCCCAATTCCAGCCCCCTAAATCCAGTTTTCCAGGCCCCAAATCCCAGGGGCCTGGATTTGGGGCCTGGATTTGGTATCTGGGGTCTGGAGCCTGGCTTTGGGTCCTCGGCCTGGATTTGGGACTGACCTGGATTTGGGATTTGTTTGGTGCCTGAGATTCGGATTTGGGACTAGGCCTGGATTTGGGGTCTGGAGCCTGGATTTGGGGTCTGGGGCCTGGATTTGTGGATTTGGGGCCTGGGGCCTTGAGACTGGTCTGGGGCCTGGATTTGGGGCCTGAGGCCTGGATTTGGGAGTGGGCCTTGGGACTGGGCTTGGATTTGGGGTGTGGAGCCTGGATTTGGTGACTGGCCTGGTTTTGGGATTCGGTCTGTTTGGTGTTTGGAGCTTGGTTTTGGGGCCTGAGGCCTGGATTTGGGACTGGGCCTGGATTTGATTTGGGGCCTGGTGCCTGGACTAGGCCTGGATTTGGGTCTGGTTGGGATTGGACCCGGATTTGGGGCCTGGAGCCTGGATTTGGGGCCTGGATTTGAGGTGGGGACTGGCCTGGATTTCAAACTGCGCCTGGATTTGGGGTCTGGAGCCCAGATTTCGGGCCTGGCTGGATTGGGACTGGGGTCTGGGGCCGGGATTTGGGGCCTGGGGCCTGGATTTGGGGCCTGGGGGCCTGGATTTGGGGCTTGGATTTGGGGCCTGGGGCCTGGATTTGGACTGGGCCTGGAGCTTGGGGCCGGGATTTGGGTCTGGGCCTGGATCGGTGGGGTCCTTCATTTGGGACTGTGCTTGGATTTGGGGTCTGGAGCCTGGCGCCTGGATTTGGGACTGTGCCTGGATTTGGGGCTGGATTTGGGGCCTGGGGCCTGGATTTGTTTGGTGCCTGGCCTGGATTTGGGCCTGGGGCCTGGATTTGGTGCGTGGATTTGGCGTGGATTTGGGGTCTGTGGATTTAGGGCCTGGGGCCTGGATTTGGGACTGGGCCTGGATTTGGGTCTGGAGCCTGGATTTGGGGCCTGGATTTGGGACTGGAGCTGATTTGGGGTCTGGAGCCTGGGTTTGGGGCTTGGGGCTTGGATTTGGGACTAGGTCTGGATTTGGGGTTTGGAAAAGCACCAAAAGCTCAATTGGGGAGCTTGGAAGGGGGTCTAGAAAAAGTAAAAAACCCAATGTGTGGCTTGGAGGGGGTGCCCCAGATCCCCAATTCCAGCCCCCTAAACCCCAAACCCCGATTCCAGGTTTTCAGGCCCCA